TTTTCTGCCAGGCATTGGCCAACCGCACAGATACCCAGCTGGCCCCTCTGGCATGCAAATACCTGGAATGTGCTTTGGTTGGAGACCGCCAGGAGAAGATTACCGTAGTCAGATTTCTAGGACTCCCTGGGAGGGAGAGCATTCTTTCTGTTGGGGATTTTTTACCAGAGCAGTTTCCTTAATCCTTCTCAGGGCCTAGCTGGGGTTTGGTAATGAGCTGTAACAGCCAGAATGGTTGATTCTCTGAGCCAGGACCCAGCTGTTACTTTTGAACAAGCTGGGCTCCTCTTTTCCAGATGTCCTGGCTCAGCTACCGCAGGGTGAAGTAGGGAGCAGGAATCCAGAACCAGAGTCGTGTTACCGCTCACAGGGGCAGAGCCCATGCCCCCATTGTACAGATGGAGCAACAGAGGCCCAGAGAGGATGTGAGGTGGGGGTGGAGTCAAGAGCCAAGGTGGGGAGAACAACTTTGTGTGCAGATTCAACTGTGGGTGGAGCCAAGGGGAGGGGCTACCTCCCAGGACCAGGAACAGGGCCCCCCAAGGTGTCATGGGACCTCAGGGCAGGACTGGTCCCACTGGGAAGCTTCCCTGTAGAAGACAAGCTCTGCATTGCATTCTGTTTTACAGGGGCACAGTCAAGGAGGATCCGTCTAAGCTGAGAAACAGCAGGAGTGAACCTGGAAACTGTGTCTTGGGTCGGATCCCCAGAAGCATTAATCCTCTGCTGAGGATTAATGAGCAAGCAATTTATTAAGGAAGTGCTCCCAGAATAAACAGAAAAGGAGTGGGAAGCCAGCGAGGGGAGGGAAGGAAAACAAATAGCGCCATGTCTGGCCAAGTCCAGCACGGCATTGCTCCCCTCTGATCCTGAGGGCCACTCTGGAATGTAAGTTACATTTCAGGGTTATCAAAACCCCAGGCAAGGAAGCTGGGCTTCCATACTCCCCACACCTCATGAGTTAGCACCATCCAAGGATATCTGGGCAGAGTGCAGCTTCCTGGAGGAGGAGGCACAGGCCTTGCTGTGTGAACACACAGCGGGGAGTGGAGATTCTTCTGAGGGAAAGGGTTGGAGCAGAACCTGAGGGAGGAGCTCAGGCACACTGCTTAAAGGCCAAGGCTGCCCTGGACGAGGACCATGGTCCCATCCCTGATTTAGGACAGGCCAAGGAGGAGCAAGGGGATGGAGGCGTGGGATGGCTCCCTGTGGGCCCAGCTGAAGTTCATGCTACCATTTCAGCAAAAGTCCCACAAACCACCTCAGGAAATCCCTCTGTCATCTGCCGCTGTTTGGGGTCAAAAGCTTGAACTGTGATGAATTTTGTGAAAGGTAGAACTGCCTCCTTCTGCCAAAGCCGTTCAGCAGTGAGTCACTAGCCTGGAACAGGCCCCACAGAGCTGCGCCAGCTCAGGCCCTGTGTGGCTGCACCTGCAGGAACTCAGGCCCTGGCAAGGTGGACATCAGGCCTGGGCCCCAGGGCAGAGCCACGGCCAACAAGGGGCAGTCCGGGGAACAACTCCCCGCCTTTTAGGGGCTCTACACACCTTCCGTCCGCTCCTTCCTGAAGGCCCCGCCCAGACCTCTGGGCCTCCAGCCTTGCCTCCTCCAACCTGATCTCCTGGGGTTGCCCAAGGGTCTCCTCTAAAAAGCAAATCTGGTCCTGTCCCTCCCCTGCCTGCCACCTTCCATGGCTCCTCATTGCTCTGAGGAGAAAGACCAAAGCCCCTGCGTGCCCCCAAGCCCTCTCCTGATGATGAAGAGCTTCCCCCATAGGGACCGAGAGCTGCTCACTGCAGGCAGAAGCCAGGCATCCCAGCAGCCCCTGTGAGCCTGCAGGGCACCCCGGGCAGCTGCCCAGCTGGAGGAGCTGCCCCAGACCTGCTCCTAGGCCTGCCTCTCCCTGTAATTCGTTTATGAAAAGCATCTAAATCAGGAGCCAACCCTCCACCAGAAGGAGCAGCTCCCTGGAGGTGGAAGAGGAGCTTTTCTTAGTCATTGTATTTGGTTTTATTTCAGGAAAACAACAACAAAATGAAACACTTAGGGTCTTATTTTCACAATCGCCTGTGGAATGAGGAGGCTTCCAGACAGTATTTGGTGAGCCTACTAGGAACCCTGTGGTCCTGCGAGGACGTTCAGGAGTAGGGAGTCTAACCCATCCCCAAATCCTCATGGCTCCAACTTTAAACACACCCGGAAGCCAACCTCTTCCCGCAGCTCAGCCCTGCTGCCCCAGCCTCCCGGCCCCCTTCTGTGTCCGCCCTGGGCCTGCTTCGGTCTCTCCTTCTAGGCAGCCAGAGCCAAGCCGCTGCTCCTCTAAGGAAGCTCCCCAAAGGCTTCTGTCTCCCTCGGGGTAAGGCCAGGGTCCTAATCACGGCCCATGGAGGCCAACACCACTGCCTCTGACCTCCCTCTCTGTCTCCAGCTTTCCTGTGGTCTCACGTGGGGTCCCCTCTGCCCGGCACTCAGGCCTCCGGCACCTGCTATTCCCCTGCCTGGAACATTCCCTGCTCTCTCCATGTCTATAGGGTCTGAGCCTCGTGTCCTGCTGACCGCAGGACTGGCTTCCCTGATGGCATCACTTCCTGCCCACCCTCCCTCCGCCTCATCTAGCCCCTTGACAATCACCGCCAACCTGATACATCTTTATTTCTCTGTTTATTGTCTAGTTTTCCTCTCTGCCCACCAGGATGTAAGCTTTGAGAGCAGGGGCTTTGTTTCATTCACTGCCATAGCTCCAGTACCAAGAATAATACCTGGCACCTCCCAGTAGGTGCTCAATAAAAATGTATTGAATGAATGAATGATTGAATCATGTCTGTCATTTGACAGAGGAAAGCCTGGGCAACATAGTGGGACTCCATCTCTACCAAAACTAAATAATTAGCCACGTGTGGTGGTGCACGCTTGTAATCCTAGCTGCTCCAGAGGTTGAGACCGAAGGATTGTTTGGTGCCAGGAGGCAGAGGCCACAGTGAGCTGTGGTCATAATGCTGCACTCTAGCCTAGCGACAGAAGGAGACCCAGTCTCAAAAAAAAAAAAGAAAAGAAAAAGAAAGAAAAGAAAATACAGAGGGGTGGGCAGATTTCCCCCAAAATGCTCTAAGGATGTCCTTTCTGGGTGCAGGAGTTGGTCTGAGGTTACCGCCTCGGGGAAGTCTTCTGTCTAGTTTTTAAATGGAAGTTCTGATTGCAGGCAGCATGGCTCATCACTGAATAGAACCGGTTTTCATTTGGTGCAAACACTACCTCCTCCAGGAAGCCCTCCCAGAACCCTTCCCAGCCCCTAGTAAAAGTGCGTCCCTCCTGCTAGCCTGCCACTTTCTCTCTTGTGGTCCATTCTGGGTATCAGTGCCGGGCCAGCGAGCATCCCCAGTGGGTGCCTGAGTCATACTCAGAGTGCACCTGGAGAGCCCCTGTCTGTTCACAGTTTACAGGGCCCTGTGCTGGCCTCAGCCACGTCCGTCTTCTCACTTAAGCCTCACAACAACCCTCCGAGATAGTCATCACCATCCCCGTCTTACAGATAAGGAAACTGCGGTCAGAGGCCACGAAGGTGACTAAGAGCCCCACATCTGGTGTCACAGTGGAGTGGAGCCTGGCTCCTTGGCCCTAAGTTCAGCCCCATCACAGCTGCTGCATTCACAGTCAGTGCTCAACACGTGTTTGGAGGATGAACGAAAGGGCAAACCTGAGTTCTTGGGGTTCTGGAGCCAGCGTGAAGACGGTGTAACCACAGCACGGGCAGGCAGGCCACTTGGCAATGGCCAGGCTCATGCTCTGCTGAGCCTCGCAGGTCACGACTCCCCTGCTGCTCTGTGTGGAGAAAGGAAAGGCAGTCAGCTCTGCCTTCCCTTGCAGGAACGTGAGACCCAGGGGGTCATCACCCGGCCCTCAGCCGCTCCTTAGGGCAGAGTCAAGACCCAGAAGCTTGAACGATGAGCTGGAAGCTGGCGACAGCCTGCGGCAGTGCCGCTACCTCTTATCAGTCCTATTTTTGTTATCTGACTCTTCCTGCGTCATTCCAGAATGGTGCTCTCTCTCTCCCTCTCTCTCCAGGACCTGGACTTCAGTTTCCTTGTCTGTAATATGGGGGTAACTGGACCTGCAGAAAAGGATCCAAGGATAAATGAGATCACACAAGCGCTTGGCACAGGGGTTGGGAGAAAGTAAATTCTTTTTTTTTTTTAAGATGGAATCTTGCCCTGTCGTCCAGGCTGGAGTGCAGTGGCGTGATCTCAGCTCACTGCAACCTCCCTCTCCAGGGTTCAAGCAATTCTCCTGCCTCAGCCTCCCAAGTAGCTGGGACTACAGGCTTATGCCACCATGCCCGGCTAATTTTTTGTATTTTTAGTAGAGAGGGGGTTTCATCATGTTAGCTAGGATAGTCTCGATTTCCTGACCTCATGATCCACCCGCCTTGGCCTCCCAAAGTGCTGGGATTACAGGCGTGAGCCACCGCGCCTGGCCAAAAGTAAATTCTTAATAAGCAGAACACGTAATTATTAGCTGGCACATATATTATATTGCTTCCTTCTTCCCTACTCTTACAAATGGATCTCAAGGCCTGGAGCTCCAAACTTGCTAGTTAGACGTCCTATTTGTTTAGGGTAAAAACCAAAACAAAACCATAGTGCCCAATGGTGGAGATGATGTGGCAGAAATGGCACAGTGTCAGCCAGGCGCGGTGGCTTTTGCCTGTAATCCCAGCACTTTGCCAGGCTAAGGTAGGTGGATCACCTGAGGTCAGGAGTTTGAGACCAGCCTGGGCAACATGACAAAACCCCATCTCTGCTAAAAATACAAAAATTAGCCAGGTGTGGTGGCTCATGCCTATAGTCCCAGCTACGTGGGAGGCTGAGGTAGGAGGATTGCTTGGGCCCAGGAGGCTGAGGCTGCAGTAGGTTGTGATCATGCTACTGCACTCCAGCATAAGCAACAGAGTGAGATCCTGTCTCAAAATATAAATAAAATAAAATAAAAATAAACACAGTGAATAGCATTTTATGAGCATTTTAAATATTCAAGGTATTTCATCAAATGTTAAATACTAATAAATTCTCATTTTGTCTCAGCTCTCCTGACTTTTAAAATGTATGCCCAAAATAGGTCATTTCAAAGCTGTCCAGGTAAGTGAGCCATTAACTGGATTTACAAGACTGCCAAGTAAGGCATTTCCTCAAACTGGCAAACTAATATAAATGCCTCCCCCTGTCTTTGGTCAGGTGTAGTCTTTTTTTTCTTTTCAGACCTGGTGAGCAGGAAGTAGAGGATCGTTTTGAATTCAGCAGATTTTGAAGGATGCCAGATCAGGAGTGAATCTCCTGGGATAAGATGCAATGGTCCCACACACTTATATGTCACCAGAGCCAACTCTTTAGGAAACAGCGATTTGACAGAACACGTCAACAGCTTGTGAAAATAAGTAATTCACATTCAACCTGTTACCCAGAAAAAACTGGGGTTCATATACCTGGTGAACCTCCAGTGGCTCTCCACGAGAACACAGGTTTGGATCAGAAGGAGTTTTATGACTCATCACAGGTAAGGAGAGTCCTGGGAGGATTCTCCAAAGCTGTGTCTCCCTGAATGAAAGTGATCGGAAGGTTTTATGCAGTGATGGAGGGGCGAGGGGTCCTGCTGGGACAGACGCAGGGTGTCACCGTGCTAGCTCACAGGTTTTGTGTGATGGTGATGAAGCTGTAGCTCCTCCTGAGGTGGAAACTTCAGCATGGTCATGATGAATGTGTACTCAGGTTCATCTAGAACAGGGGTGTCCAATCTTTTGGCTTCCCTGGGCCACACTGGAAGAATAGTCTTAGGCCACACATAAAACCACTAATACTAATGATAGCTAATGAGCTAAAAAAACAATCTCATCGTGTTTAAGGTTTATGATTTGTGTTGGGCTGCATCCTGGGCCACCGGTTGGACAGGCTTGATCTAGTAGTTGCCTGGATCTGTCAGGAGCTGGTGCCAGCAACTACGTGACCACGTTCAACACAGGGTTTGGGGAAATAAGCTGCAAAGCAGGAGGCTGTCAAAGAGGCTGATTGCTCCAGTTGACTAAATGCCTATAGTCCCTGGAGACCCTTCCTGTCGGCTTACAAACCTGTTGGAATTTTATTTGGAGCCTTTAAAGGAAATGAGACTGCGGGACCTGAGTCACATAACAGGCAGCTGCAATCTCTGTTTCTCTGATTATAGATTAACTTTTTCCTTACCTACATTCTTTTGTAAAATGTTGTAAAAGACTAAAGGGCACTGGAGGAAAGACACCTTTTTCTTAATTACTGACTCTCCTTATAAGTTAATTGCCATCTTTCCTCTCTTGCACCTGACTCAGACCAGATAGCACGAAAGGCTCTATGACAATCAATTTACTCAAGATGGATTGTTGACTATACCTTTCCTGAAAAGGAACAAGGTGCAACCAATCAGATTGCTGTAATTCATAAACCAGTCTCATACGGAAAAGGCTGCTAAACTTTAGTGATCCTGCTAAACTTCTTGGTTTCTACCTATACAAGTAAAACCTTAACTTGTTCATTTCAAAGCACTGATTCTATTCCTCTGGAGTCTGTTTCCTGGACTGTCATCCTTAAACTCTGCACTTGCATTAACTCTTTTTTTTGAGATGGAGTCTTACCCTATTGCCCAGGCTGGAATGCTGTGGTGCAATCTCAGCTCACTGCAACCTCCACCTCCCTGGTTCAAGCAATTCTCCTGCCTCAGTCTTCCAAAGAGCTGGACTTACAGGTGTGTGCCACCATGCCCAGCTAATTTCTATATTTTTAGTAGAAACAGGGTTTCACTATGCTGGCTGGGCTGGTCTCGAACTTCTGACCTCAGGTGATCCACCCACCTTGGCTTCCCAAAGTGCTGAGATTACAGGCGTAAGCCACTGCACCTGGCCGCATTAACTCTTTAGAACAGGATGCTTATCCTTTAGATTATCAGGTTGATCAGCATTTATATACTCTGACGAATTATTTCCTTTGGGATTTATCCCAGTGAAATAATATTTTTTATAAAGCAAAATGTAAGTGTTAGCGTGCAGAAAACGATTCCCCAAAATATGGTGCTTGGGCATGCTGAGTGCTTTTGAAAACTGAAAGGCCTCAGAAATAAGACTCAGCATCAAAGTATCTCTAACCTTGTCTTGTTCTCCCCCTCTCACCCCTCAAGGGCTTGGGGGGACTCTCTGGAATTTCCTTATCTGACCTAGAAAGCATCTTGCCAAAAGAAACACATTTGCCTTTTATCCCCCCTGTTGCCCCATTATCTACTGCAGAAAAGAAGCCAGAAGAAGGCAATCACACCTGGATGGGCTTTTCCACAAGATAATGCCTGCCTCTCAGGCTCATTCCATTTACAAGTTAATTTCTGTCTCCCTAGTCCATTCAATCTCTTTAATAATCTTTTATTATATATAATTTTTTTTTTTTTGAGACAGAGTTTCGCTCTGTCACCCAGGCTAGAGTGCAGTGGTGTGATCTCATTTCACTGCAACCTCTGCCTCCCGGGTTAAGCAATTCTCTGCCTCAGCCTCCCGAGCAGCTGGGATGACAGGCGTATGCCACCATGCCCAGCTAATTTTTGTATTTTTAGTAGAGACGGCGTTTCACCATTTTGGCCAGGCTGGTCTTGAACTCCTGACCTTGTGATCCGCTTGCCTCAGCCTTTGTAGAGTGCTGGGATTATAGGCATGAGCCACGTGCCTGGCCAATAATCATTTACTGCTCCTTAAAAGAACGGCTTACACTCCCCATCTCTTCGCTCCCCTAGGATAAAGGGTGCATAAACTACTGTACCAAATTGGGGGGGTTGGGGTAATCTCACTGTAATTGTTTCCCATGAATGTTGATAAATGTGTATGCTTTTTCTCCTACCAATCTGCCTTTTGTCAGTTGATTTTCAGTGAACCTTCAGAGGGTAAAGGGGAAGTTTTCCCTTCTCCCATATGCAGGCATGTAAAGATGTTCATTGCAGTGCTGTTTATAGCAAAGAAAATGGCAAACACACTCAATCAACCAATAGGGAGATGCTTAAGAAAAAATGCAAAATTGCAGTTAGACTTTGGTCTCTACCCACAGGGAGGTTGGTAGAGACCAAAGTCTAACTGCGATTTTTTTCACCCTTTTTGATTCTCATAGCAGCCTGTGATGTAGACAAACAGGGTCCAAGTTTTTTTTCCCCATTATTGATGGGGGTAGGGGTCAGGATGGAGACTGAGTTGTGAGAAATTCTGGGCAGAGCTTCCAACAGGGAATCAGATTCTGAACAGGAGAGCTCCCAGGTATCCTAAAGCGAAACCCAGAGCTGACTGACAGCAGTGCATGTCTGATGGGGATCCAGCAGCAAGTCCCCGCTCCTGGGTGAAGATGAAATCACCTTTGTGAAAATTAAGACAGTGGCCAGGTGTGGTGGCTCACACCTGTAATCCCAGCACTTTGGGAGCCCAAGGCTGACAGATCACCTGAGGTCAGGAGTTCAAGACCAGCCTGGCCAACATGGTGAAACCCCGTCTCTACTAAAAATACAAAAATATTAGCTGGGCGTGGTGGCAGGTGCCTGTAATCCCAGCTACTGGGAGGTAGCAGAATCACTTGAACCTGGGAGTCAGAAGTTGCAGTGAGCCAAGATCACACCAATGCATTCCAGCCTGGGCAACAAGAGCAAAATTCCATCTCAAAAAAGACAAAAAAAAATGACAGTAAAAAAGATCTGACCTAACCAACTCCATCTTGCCTTTAACGTCTCAGCTGTCCTGTTCATTCCCGGGCGTAGGCGGAACTTGGTTTATAGTTTAACTTTGATACAAAGATGCTAACAGCCTTTTCCCTAAACAAACTCCTTCTTGCCTGGGACCAGACTGCCTTTGTAAGACTAGCCAGCTAGCCACAAGATTAGAAATTATGGTTTAGGAGTCACACAGCTAGCTACAAGATTCTGAACCTTCCCAATGGCTCCTAGGGATAACATCACGATTGTGAAACCTAAGATTGGCACTTGAGGTATTTCTCAGACCCTGCACTGCTGGTGTACTCTGATGCACCAGCTGGTCCCACCCTGTAATCAGGCTCAACCAGTCCTGTGATCCCACCCAGGAACAGAAGATGGCAAGAATCCACTTCAGTCCGGGTGCAGTGGCTCATGCCTATAATCCCAGCACTTTGGGAAGCCAAGGTGGGCGGGTCATTTGAGGTTAGGAGTTTGAGATCAGCCTGGCCAACATGGTGAAACCCCATCTCTACTAAAAATACAAAAATTAACTGGGTGTGGTAGTACACATCTGCAATCCCAGCTACTTGGGAGGTTGAGGCAGGAAAATTGCTTGAACCTGGGAGGCAGAGGCTGCAGTGAGCCGAGATGGCACCACCACACTCCATCCTGGGTGACAGAGGGAGATTTTGTCTCCAAAAAAATAGAGAATCCACTTCCACCCTATAAGATTTCATCTTCAACCCGACCAATCCACACTCCCCACTCCCTGGCCTCATACCCGCCGAATTATCCTTAAAAGACCCATTTTTGAATTCTCAAGGCGCTGATTTAAAGTTTCAGTCTCCTGTTTAGCCAGCTCTACAAGTATTAAACTCTTACTATTCCAATTCCCTGTCTTGATGAATCAGCTTTATCTGGGCAATAGGCTAGGAGAACTTGTTGGGCTGTTAATAAGACAACATAAGACCAACCTTCATTCTGGCCTTCTCTCCCCATCTCATCCAGAAGAGGTGACCTCCTAGGCTGCTACTTCCTCTCTTGATCTGACTGGGATTCCCCCTACTTAGGGAGCTTTGGAAGAACCACCAGTCTCAGGCCCCACCTTGCTCTGAGCTGGGCTTCCAGGAAGCCCCCTGTGCACACCTGTCCCATGAGGTCATGTGAAAAACCCAGGGAGATTCCAACACCTGCTGCAGCTTGTTGTTCCTTTTTTTTTTTTAAGCTGTGATGTAGAATTTCTCTACCATGCAAAACTTGTCCATAATAATAAAACAAACATTTCCATCTCTATTGCCCTGCTTAGGAAATATAATCTTACAGGGACACTGGAAGACGCTTGGGTGCCCCCTTCCTGATCCTGCTCCCCACCTCTGTCACCAGAGGTAACCCAATTCTGAACTGCGTGTTTATCCATCAATGATAAGTGGTATTGCTTTGCATGGTTTTAAACTTTCAGTAGCGGTTCCTGTCTTTTATTCATTCACAAATTCACAAACATTTACTTATTAAGAACCTACTATATGTGAGGCACCATCCTAAGCCCTGGGAATATCCGTAAACAACAGGATCATTGCTCTCATGGGATGCACATTCTGGTGGCGTGAGTCAAACCATAAACAAAAGGTATGAAATTGAGATACATTATGAAATATGCTAGAATGTGAGATGTACAGAGGGAAAAAAGAAGGGAAGCTGGAGAGCCAGGGATGAAATACTGCAATTTTAAGTAGGATTGCAATTCTTTTCTCTTGAGACAGGGTCTTCCTCTGTCCCCCAGGCCAGAGTGCAGTGGTGCAATCATAGCTTGCTGCAGCCTCAAACTCCCCAGGCTCAAGCAACCCTCCCATGTCAGCCTCCTGAGTGGCCAGGACTACAGGCACATGCCACCATGCCTAGTTAATTTTTTTTTAAGTAGAGAAAAGGTCTCAAGATGTTATCCAGGCTGGTCTCGAACTCCTGAGCTCAAGTGATCCTCTTGCCTCAGCCTCCCAAAGTGCTGGGATTACAGGTGTGAGCCAAATTGCCTCCTTGTATGTCTTGTGTATTTACTCAATATTATATATGTTTTATATAACTGTGCCATCTTTATTCATTCAACTGTCAAAAAGGATTTATTATATCTTTCTCTTTTATTTGTCATTATAAACAACGTTGCCATAAGCATTCTTGTAAATGTCTTTTTTTTTTTTTTTTTTTTTAGGTCAGGGTCTTGCTCTGTTACCCAGGCTAGAATGCAGTAGCACGATCATAGTTCACTGTAACCTCAAACTCTTGGGCTCAAGTGATCCTCCTGCCTCAGCCTCCTGAGTGCTAAGACTACAGGCACATGCCTCCATGCCTGGCTAATTTTTAAATTTTTTGTAGAAACAGTGTCTTGCTATGTTGCCCAGGCTGATCTCAAACTTCTTACCTCATGTGATCCTTCTGCCTCGACCACCCAAAGCACTGGGATCACAGGTATCACTATCTTTTTGTGCACACACAGGAGAGATGTTCTAGGGCATGTGCCCTAACATAGAATTGTTGAGTCCAGAGTATCTTCAACCTAGCTTAGCTAGATGGTACCGATGGCTTCTGCAAAAAAGATTAAAAATTAAAAAATTGTCCAGGCATAGTGGCACACACCTGTAGTCCTAGCTACTTGGGGGGCTGAAGTGGGAGAATCACCTGAGCCTAGGAGTTTGAGGCTGCAGTGAGCTATGGTCAAACCACTGCACTCCAGCCTGGGTGACAAAGTAAGACTCTGTCCTGAAAAAAAAAAAAAAGAAAGAAACTTAAAAAATATTTTGTTTTCAAAAAACCTAGAATTGAAGAACACAAGCATCTGGCACAAAGAAAAGATCCTACAAGTTTGCAGAGAAAAAGCAGATTTCATACAAAGGATCACGGATCCGAACGGATTGATTCTTTAACATTGATTCTTTAACAGCATCAATGGACGCCAGAAAACAATGGAGGAATATGTTCAAAATTCTGAAGGGAAGAGTTTGTGGTTAAATTAGTAATGAAAATTAGTAAACCAAGCCAATGGTAAAAGCAAGACAATTGGGCTCGGTGCAGTGGCTCGTGCCTGTAATTCCAGCAGTCTGGGAGGCCAACGCTGTGGATCACCTGAGGTCAGGAGTTTGAGACCAGATGGGCCAACATGGCAAAACCCCATCTCTACTAAAAGTACAAAAATTAGCTGGGCATGGTGGCGCATGCCTATAGTCTCAGCTACTCAGGAGGCTGAGGCAAAAGAATCACTTGAACTTGGGAGGTGGAAGCTTCGGTGAGCGAAGATTGTGCCATTGCACTTCTGCGAGACAGAGTGAGACTCTGTTTCAAAAAAAAAAAAAAGAGAAAAACCTCAAGACAATTGCAATTATTAACTCTAGAAATCTTGAAAATAGATTTACAGTCAGAATGAAGTAAATACCAAATATTGATCTGATCAGAATTACAAATAACTATATTGGGAGGCTATGAGGGTGGGAAAACATGTATTCATACCTGTTTTATTCCAGGGTGGGGGGGTATTGTGAGTGGTTGATGAGAGCCAAATTCTCCCCTTCCATAATGACAAATCACTGTATAATGTATAAACCTGAAAAATCAAGAAGTAGCAATATAAGCATGGTATTTAAAGAAAATACAGTAGATACTTAAAGGATTGAAATAGTCTTTCTGAGGCTGTGTGTGGTGGCTCATGCCTGTAATCCCAACCCTTTGAGAGGCCAAGGCAGGAGGACTGCTTGAGTCTAGGAGTTCGAGACCAGCCTGGCAACACAGGGAGACCTCCGGCTACAACAAACGATAAAAGGTAGCTGAGCATGGTGGCACATGCCTGTGGTTCCCGCTTCTCAGGACGTTGAGAAGGGAAAATCGCTTGTACCCTCAAGGTCGAGGCTGCAGGGAGCTGTGATCATGCCACAGCACTCCAGCCTGGGAGACAGAGTGAGATCTTGTCTCAAAACAGAAAAAGAAAAAATTGTATCTCTAGTACTGAAAAAGCAGAGCAGAGCCATGACTTGGGAAGGGGCTTCAGAGAATTGCTGACCTTCATAACAAATCTTGTAGAATTTTTTGACCTTTGAAGTCATGTGCATGTATAACTTGATACAAATTAAAGTTAATTAGCAGCTTTGTACATAGGTCTTTTAGATCTCTTCATTTGTTTCCTTAGGATCCATTCCAGAGGTGGGACTGCTGGATCAATAGGCATAAGTGTTTCCAAGACCTTATCATCCACAGAGGTAAACAGGGCACCCATCTTTCCCTTTCCAGAGGTTTAATAGCCTTTACTTGCCAGTCTTTGCAAACACCATTATGAGTTTTCACATCTCTGCCAATCTCATGGTAAAACATGGTATTACATGGTAGTTTTAATTTGTGCTTCTTTGACTGCTAAATAGTTTTATATCATTAACATATTTAACCATTTTTAGTTCTTCTTTTATTAATTTCCTGTTATGTTCTTTATCCATTTTGTTCACCTTTTTCACTCTTGATTTGTGAGGTCTCTTTAAATAGCAAGCCTACTCATTCTCTATCACACACTGCAAAGATTTCCCCCACAGTGGACCCTTCTCCTTTCAATGTTCTTTTTTGATATAAGGGATTTTTTTGTTTTTATGTAGTTAAGGCTTTCGTTTATGTTTTTGGCCTTTGGGGTTATGCCCGGAAAGCCCTGGCTCACCCATGGGCCTTTTACAAGCGTAGCCTCTCCTACAACTTCACCTACCACTCCTATCGAGTATTTCATCAATTGCAAGTTTTTCACATTTTTAATCTCTGAAACTGGGATGGTGCTCAGGTAGTAGTCATTGCCTGCTGCACATCAGGATGTGCAGAAAACATCAGTGACTTGTCAACAAAAGTCCTGGAGACGATAGTGCAGTATTCTGTAAGAAATGCTGCAACAGGCCGGGCCCAGTGGCTCACGCCTGTAATCCCAGCACTTTGGGAGGCCAAGGCGGTCAGGAGTTCAAGACCAGCCTGGCCAACATGGTGAAATCCTGTCTCTACTAAAAATACAAAATTAGCTGGGCATGGTGGCGGGCACCTGTGATCCCAGCTACTCTGGAGGGTGAGACAGGAGAATCGCTTGAACCCAGGAGATGGAGGTTGCAGTGAATCAAGATTGCATCATTGCACTCCAGCCTGGGTGACAAGAGCAAAAATCTATCTTAAAAAAAAAAAAAAAAAGAAATGCTGCAACATCACCTGTTTCTTCTTCCTGCTGGGCACAGAAGGAGATAACATTTCTCAGCCTCCCTTTCAGTTAGAAGTGGCTGTGTGACCAGGTTCTAGTCACTGGACTGTGGGTGGAGGTGACATAAGTGCCTTCCCTGGTTGGTCCATAAAACCTCCCACACAATCTGCTACTGTCTTTCTTCCTGTCTGCTGTCAGAGGAGCTGGCAGTGGCTCTAGGGGACGGCAGAAGCAATTGAGGGCCCTGCATGGCCACATGGGAAGCAGCTAGCTAACCAGGAATTCTCATTGCTCTTTGTGTAAATAAGTAATATATTTCCATTGTGTTCAGCCATTGAGGTTTGGAGTTATGTTCCTTAGAGCAGCTAGCATTGCTGATACCTAACTGATACCTTTGTCTTCATTCTGACTTTAATCCAAATTCCTCTAGACTGGGTTTAGTGTTTTATCATTAGTATGATGTTGACTCTTGATTTTAGATAGATAGACCTTATCCTGTGCTCTTGTAACATCAAGTCTTGGTATTGGAGTTATGCAAAGTGTATACAATTAATTGGAAAATTTTTAACTTTTTTCTAAGCTCTGGGAAAGATTGCATAGCAGAGAAATTAACTGTTGGCCGGGCGCAGTGGCTCAAGCCTATAATCCCAGCACTTTGGGAGGCCAAGGCGGGTGGATCACGAGGTCAAGAGATTGAGACCATCCTGGTCAACATGGTGAAACCCTGTCTCTACTGAAAATACAAAAATTAGCTGGGCATGGTGGCGCATGGCTGTAGTCCTGGCTACTCGGGAGGCTGAGGTAGGAGAATTGCTTGAACCTAGGAGGTGGAGCTTGCGGTGAGCCAAGATCACACCATTATACTCCAGCCTGGGTAACAAGAGCGAAACTCCGTCTTGGAAAAAAAAAAAAAAGAAAGAAAGAAATTAATTGTTAAGTGAAACTGACAAAATTCATCCTAAGAACTCTCTGGGTCCTTTTGTAAGGGCTTTAACAAGCTTTATTTTGTTTCTTTTTTGAGACAGAGTCTTGCTCTGTTGCCCAAGCTGGAATGCAGTGGCACAATCTCAGCTCACTGCAGCGTCCACTCCATGGGTTCAAGCAATTCTCATGCCTCAGCCTCCTGAGTAGCAGGGACTACAGGTGCCTGCCACCGTGCCTGGCTAATTTTTTTTTTTTTTTGGCATTTTTAGTAGAGATGGGGTTTCACCATGTTGGCCAGGCAGCTCTTGAACTCCTGACCTCAAGTGATCAGCCCACCTTGGCCTTCTTCCACAGTGCTGGGATTACAGGCATAAGCCACTGTGGTTGGCCTAGTTTCTTTTTCTTTTTCAAACTAACTTTTGCTACAGACGAAATTGTGTTCCCCCACAATTCATAGGTTGAAGCCCTAAACCCCAACGTGACTGTATATGGAAACAGGGTCTTTAAGGAGGTAATTAAGGTAAAATGAGGTCATAAGGGTTGGGCCTTCATGCAATATGACTGGTGTCCTTATAAGAAGAAAGACACCAGGGATGTATGTGCAGGGGGCAAAGGCCTTGGGAGGATACAGCAAGAAGGCGGCTGTTGGCAAGCCAAGGAGAGAGGCCTCAGGAGAACCAAGCCTGCCAGCACCTTGAACTTGGGTTTCCAGCCTCCACAACTATGAGAAAATAAACTTCTGTTGTTTAAGCCACCCAGTCCAGTCTGTGGTATTTTTTATGGTGGTCCTGGCAGGCAATTACAAACTTTTGTTTTATTCATTTTTCATTAAAAAAAGAAAATAGAAAAAGAAAGCCATCCATAGCTCTACTATCCAGGAATAACCATTGGTGAAGTTGTGGTAAATATCCTTGTAAATACCCACTGACATTTACATATTTACTCACATAAGTGGGGGCCACTCTCTATATATACCAATTTGCAACCTGCTTTTTAAAAAATTTAATTAAATTAATTTTTTTGGTTTGTTTAGAGATAAGGTCTTACTCTGTCTCCCAGGCTAGCTTGTAGTAGTGTGATCATGGCTTACTGCAGCATTGGACTTCTGGGCTCAAGTGATCGTCTTGCCTCAGTCTCCAGAGTAGTTGAGACTACAGACACGTGCCATTATACTGGCTAATTTTTAAATTTTTTGTAGATATCAATTCTTGCTATGTTGCCCAGGCTGGTCTTGAACTCCTGGCCTCAAGTGATCCTCCCACCTGGCCTCTCAAAGTGCAGGGATTACAGGTGTGCACTACCATGCCTGGTTATGCAATCTGCTTTTTATACTTAATATCATACATATTTCCCATGTGGCCAGGCACAGTGGATCACGCCTGTAATCCCAGCACTTTGGGAGGCCAAGGCGGGTGGATTACCTGAGGTCAGGAGTTTGAGACCTGCCTAGTCAACATGGTGAAACCCCATCTCTACTAAAAATACAAAAAATTAGCCAGGCGTGGTGGTGGACTCCTGTAATTTCCAGCTACTCAGGAGGCTGAGGCAGGAGAATCACTTGAATTGGGAGGCAGAGGTTGTACTGAACTGAGATCATGCCACTGCACTCCAGCCTGGGCAACAGAGCAAGGTTCTGTCTCAAAAACAACAATTCCCATGATAGTATACATACTTTATTTATATATATTTTTCAGATTCCAAAAGTAACAAATGCTCATTTTTAAAAGTTCAAATATTATAGACCAGGCATGGTGGCTCATGTCTGTAATCCTAGCACTTTGGGAGGCCGAGGCAGGTGGATCACTTGAGGTAAGGAGTTTGAAGTCCAGCCTGGCCAACATGGTGAAACCCCATCTCTACTGAAAAAATACAAAAATTAGCCAGGCGTGGTGGCACACACCTGTAATCCCAGCCACTCAAGAGGCTGAGGCAGGAGAGCTGCTTGAACCCAGGAGGCAGAGGTTCCAGTGAGCCAGGATCACGCCACTGCACTCCAGCCGGGGAGACAGAGCAAGACTGTGCCTCAAAAAAAAAAAAGTTCAAATATTACAGTAATACAGAAAGTGAAAGTTTTCCAATTTCTTCCATGATCTTTTTATGTTTTCAACTCCTTTTTGAATTGGTCTTAATATTTATTTTCATAGGAAATTATTTTATACAATTTTCAAATCTACGTATCTAGAGTTATAGTCTCTAAAAAAAAGTCTCCACCATATTTTCTTTTTTTTTTATTTTGCTAGTTACCCCTCACCTGGATATGTTTTTTTTTCCTACGTTCTCCTAGAGTGAGTCTCACCCCATCACCCACTGCAACCTCTGCCTCCTGATTTCAAGCAATTCTCCTGCCTCAGCCTCCCAAGTAGCTGGGACTACAGGCACACGCCACCATGCCTGGCTAATTTTTTGTATTTTTAGTAGAGATGGGGTTTCACTGTGTTAGCCAGGATGGTCTCAATCTCCTGATCTCATGATCCGCCCACCTCGGCCTCCCAAAGTGCTGAGATTACAGGCACGAGCCACCACACCCTGCAAATCTCCACCATATTTGAGATCTATCACTTTTCTTTGCATCCAGAGAGAACCACCCAAGGAGTTTGATATACATTTTCTGGCACCTTCTTCCCCTCCCAACATCGACCTGTCCTTCCAGGTTCTGCTAAAGGGCAGCCTCCTCCAAGGCACCTTCCAGGTCCTTGGACAGAACCACTCTCCCCCATCCCTGTTCCTACGCACTCCTCCCTGCAGCATCTATACCTTTCCTCCCTACACTGAAACACCACGAGAGGCAGCTTGAGGTGGTAGAAAGAACAGGGACTGAGCTGGGCTTGAGTCTGAGCCTTGCCACTTTTCTTTTGGACCTATTAACCTCCGTGAGCGTTGATGCTCTCATCTGTAAAATGGGATGACGATTGTACCTACCTCCCAGGGTTGAGATGAGAATTAAATGAGGTACTGCATGAAAGGTCCCTTGTACTTACTATTATATTTGATGTGAGTGTGCAGTTCCTGGTCCACTGCTTCCTAAGGCAAAGCCCAGAGCCAGGTTCTCAGTAGCCCCAAGACACACTGACTAGAAATCCACAGGTGCCCTGAGAGGCTGTGCACAGTACCTGGCCAGTGGGCAAGCCCTTCCCACACTTGGATTTTGTTCTCTGGGACCCAGGAACCTCTGGGCAAGGGCTGGTTTCTTATCCTCTCATCTGATGCTTGGTGTGGCTTCCAGCCTGCAGGGTGGAAGCCAGAGTGGTAGTTAATGAAATAACACTTCTGCCCCCAAAATTAAAAATGGAATCACTGCATAATCCAACATTTCCACTGTGGCTATATATGTACTCAAAAGAATTGAAAGCAGGATCTTAAAGTGGCATTTTTGTTCATAGCATTATTCACAATAGCCATAAGATGGAAATAACTGAAATGTCCACTGACAGATGAACAGATAAACAAAATGTGGTGTGGACAGACAGTGGAATAAGAGGAAGCTTCAAACGGGAAGGCAATTCTGACACGTGCTACAATGCGGATGAACCTGGTGGACTTCACACTAAGTGAAATAAACCAGTCACCTCATAAGTGGTGTGATTCCACTAATGTAAGGTACCTAGAGTAGTAAAATTCATAGAGACAGAAAGGAGAATGGTGGTTACCAGGTTGGGGGGAAGAGGGAGATGGAAAATTATTATTTAATGGGCACAGAGTTTCAGTTAAGGCGAAACAGTTCTAGAGATGGATGGTGGTGGTGGTAATACAGCAATGTGAATTACTTAATGCTACTCAACTGTCGACTTAAAAATGGTTAAGATGGGCCAGTTCGGTGGCTCACACTTGTAATCCCAGCACTTTTGGAGGCCAAGGCGGGCAGATCACTGAGGTCAGGAAATTGAGACCAGCCTGGCCAACATGGTGAAACCCCGTCACTACTAAAAATACAAAAAATTAGCCGGGAGTCGTGGGGGGTGCCTATAATCCCAGCTACTGGGGAGGCTGAGGCAGGAGAATCACTTGAACCCAGAAGGTGGAGGTTGCAGTGAGCTGAGATCCTGCCACTGCACTCCAGCCTGGGCAACAAGAGTGAGACTCCATCTCGAAACAAACAAACAAACAAACAAAACAAAATAGAACAAAAAGGTTAAGATGGTAGATTTTTTGTTATGTGTACTTTACCACAATTAGAAAAAAATGCTCTGAGGCTTTGTAGTTACCCAGGCTGGGGCATCACCTAGAGAATGGTGCCTACTGGGCATGGAGGGAATAGAGCCCTGACTGGTCTGCCCCCAGCTGCCCTGTGGTGTCCTGGCCCATGCCTTCTCCTTTGGGTCTCACCTGTCAAATGCCAAATAGCGCCATGAAATGGAAGACATCGAAGCTTCCTCCTGGCCCTGATGAGCTAAGATGAGAATTAGAACAAAAGCGTGTGCTTTTAAAAAAGTAGATGGAGAATTAACAATACACTCGCAAATCACATTCACTATACCAAGATTAAAAACATTCTTTAGAAACTGGGCTTATTAGACGACATACTTCCTGCATCGGGTGGGAGGGGAGGGGGCCGGGTCACTGGTGCTCTCTGTAGGGGCAAGCAGGTGAAATGATTATGAAATATGTCAAGTAAATGGTCCTTTTTTCTTGCCAGGAGATAAGGAAAGGTAATTTGGTCTGTCAGTTGCACACACAGAAGACGTCATGGTCAACTGCATTAATACTGAATACTTTGTCCAGAGTCACAGAGCTCAAAGAAATTACAGAATCTTTCTCCTGTGAATTCTGGCATGACTCTCAGCAGACCTTTTCCCACCTGAATTCACAAGAGAGATTAATAACAAAAGGCAGGGCCGATGGTGGGACCAGAGCTGCTTTTCCTTCGCACCTGGGACCCCCTCCTCCAGCCCACCCATCCAGCCTCATCTCTTACCACACCCTTCCCGGTCCCGCTTTAGTCCAACCCAACCCCAGTTGTCCTGCGCTCCCCTCTTCCTACGGGCTCCTGTCATGTAGGCGCCAGTCAGAGCCCACCTGCCCAGGCTACCTCCTCTGGGACATCTCTCTCCAGTCCCAATCACCTTCCCTCCCCTCTGACTCGTGCCCCCTCTGCTCGTGTGGGGTTGTGAGGCACCTGGGAGGTGAGGCCCACAAACATGTCAGCGATCTCGGCCTCCGGGAAGGTGTGAGGGACACTGATCTAAAGACCAAAACCTTCTTTTTGCAGTTGTGAGGACTTTGTGTCCCTGTCTCCTTCCCTAAACACCCCAGACCTCCCTGCAGGGCAGACTTGCCCAGCCAGCCTCCCCCACAGCGTCCAGCCCAGGGTCTGGCACTTGGCAGTGAAAGGGGCAAGTTCATGAGGCTGCTACCGTCTCTCCTATGCTACCATTCTCTCCTGTCATCTAGGACAAGGATACTGGTGGTAGATTCTTTCTTTTCTGTATTTTTTGACCTGGCAGGGGTGAAGATGTGTGGTTAGGGTTGGGAGGAGACATTAGGGTCTCTCTAAACCCATTGTTAAGTTGTTAAATTGCAAGGAACCATCTTCCTCTCCACCCTCCATTCCCACAGGATGAACATGAAGCCCCACTCAGAGCCCTTGTTCCAGAGCGGGAAAAACCTTCTTCCCGTGGCTGCTTTTGGGGACTTGTCAGTCTCTGGAACAATTAAACCTCTTTCAAGGCAGTTATATTCCCTCATGTAATAAGTACTGCATTATTTTTAGACTGTTTTACCCAATTAATTTTATTATCAGTTAATTATGTATTACCATCTTAAGAAAATGAATATTTGCCCAGTTGCTTAAGCTAAATCATTAAATATGTATGTATTCCTTTCTTTAAATGCACATCTGTTATCTCTTACAGATGGAGAAGACGTGTTTGGAGCCATCTGTGTCTCTGAAACAGACCCCCCCCCCATACAAAAGTGCCTTCTTGGCCCTAGGAGTCTCTGAAACAGACCCCCACCCCGTACAAAAGTGCCTTCTTGGCCTAGGAGAGGGCTCGTGTGGTGCTGGGAGGCACCTGGGAGGTGAGGCCCGCAAACATGTAGAGATTTCGGCCTCAGGGTAGGTGGGAGGGCCACCGTCCTAAGGACCAGCTTGGCAGAATCTGGGGTAAGAGAAGGCAGGTACAGTCAAGAGCCAAATGCATGAAGGTGTGTGAATGTGGAACCGCCCCTGGAGGACAATAGTTTAAGAAACAAACCTCAGGGCTGGGCGTGGTGGCTCACATCTGTAATCCCAGCACTTTGGGGAGCTGAGGTGGGAGGCTCATTTGAGACCAGAAGTTTCAGATCAAGCTGGGCAACATAGTGAGACCCTGTCTCTGGAAAACAATACAAACAAACAAAAATTAGCCAGGCTTGATGGTGCACACCTGCAGTCCAAGTTACTCAGGAGGCTGAGGTGGGAGGATCCCTTGAGCCCAGGAAGTAGAGGCTGTAGTGAGCCGAGATCATGCCACTGTACACTGCACTCCAGCTTGGGCAACAGAGTGAAATTCTATCTCAATAAAAAAAGAAAAGAAGGCCGGGCGCGGTGGCTCAAGCCTGTAATCCCAGCACTTTGGGAGGCCGAGGCGGGTGGATCATGAGGTCAAGAGATCGAGACCATCCTGGTCAGCATGGTGAAACCCTGTCTCTACTAAAAATGCAAAAAAAAAAATTAGCTGGGCATGGTGGCGTGTGCCTGTAATCCCA